GGGCTGCGGCACCGCCCGCGCCCGCCCTGGAGCGCCCGGGGGGCCCTGCGCGGCCCGAAGTGTCCCCCCCATGTCCCAAAGGGTCCCCGCCATGTCCCGAGGTGTCCCGGAGCGCCCCAGGGTGTCCTTGTTGTGGCTCAAAGTGTCACCGCTGCATTGCAAAGTGGTCCTGCTGTGGCCCAAAGTGTCTCCATTGTGCCCCCAATAGTTCCCCTGTGGCCCAAAGCATCCACTTGTGTCCCAAAGGCTCCCTGCTGCATCCCAAAGGGTCCCCACTGTGTCCCAAAGTGTCCCCATTGCTGTAGCCCAAAGTGTTTTCCTCGTGTCTCAAGGAAACTGTTCCAAAGCATTCCCTTGTGTCCAAAAGGACCCCTCGTGTCACAGCACCTGTGCTGTGTCCCACAGTATTCCATGGCCTCCCAGATTGTCCCCTGGTGCCCCTGCTGAGTCCCAGGGTGCCCCTCCAGAGCATCCCCTCATATCCCAAAGCATCTCCGTTGCAGCCTGCAGTGTCCCCATCATCTCCCAAAGTAACCCCACTGAGACCCAAACCACCCTCTTGGAGGCTAAATTGTCCCCCTCGTGCCCCAAAGCATATCCCCTGTGCCTATGCTGTCCCTGTCACCTCCCAAGATGTTCTCGTTGCGTCCCTGCCGTGTCCCCATGTGGCCTTGTAGGGTGCCCAAGCATCCTTGTCACATCTCTTAGTGTTCCCATTAGGATCCAAGGCACCCTGTTGTGCCCCAAACCATTCTGCTGTATCCCAAATTGTGCCTTTCATGCTCCACGCTGTCCCTACTGTGTCCCAAACCATCTCCATCGTGTCCCAACAGGCACCCTGGGGACAGCCGTGATCCAGCTTCCCAGTTTGCTAGAAGCGGCTGCAGGGACGGAGCAGTGCGGGGGGCCCCATGGGCCCCTGGCTTTGCCCTCCACCTCCTGCGCTCTGGCCATGGCTCCGGCGCACGGGAACGGCGTTTCTGCCACGGGGTGGTGCACGCGGCCGCCGCGGCCGCACAACACGAGCCCTCTTCCTCCCGCTGCCAAAGCACCCCGTGCTCCAGCCCTTGTGGCTTCGCAGCCGGGATCAGCTCCGGCGGGGGGAGATGGAGGAGCAGGACATCCCCAGCACTGCTCCAGCACTGGGTGTGCGAGATAACGCCCCATTCGCCCACCTAAAATGTGCTCTTTATTCAGCAAAAGTCACAGCGAGGTCCTGCCAGGCACTGCCTCTGGCCATGGGCACAGCTTGATGTCCCCAGGCTCTCTGCCACCTCCGGCTGCCTGAGGGACGATCCCTTGCTGGACAACGTGGCTGTTTTTTGTCCCATAGGCCAGGCTGCCACCCTGCGGTGTCCCCAGAGCCCCCGGAGTGACATTTCTGATGCTGGACTGGCCTGACGTGCTGGGGGGTCCTGGCCAGACCTGCCATATCACAGTGGCACGGTGGCGCCACCAGCCATGCAGGGAACAAGGACCTGCAGCCCCCAGGCAAAGTGTCCCACTGGAGTGGGACACGGTGGGACAATGGTGACGCAAGAGGAAGAGGAAAGTTAAAACGCTGCTGGGGACAAGGAAACGGGGAGCGGAGGGTTGGAGCTGGGAAGAGCATCATGGTGAGACACGCTCCTCTCCATGTTCCTCGGCCCGGAGGGGGCTCAGGGCTGTACCGGGGAGTCCCGTCCTTGTGGGGCTCATCCTGGTCGGGGAACAGCCACAGGGGACTGTGATGGTGGGGACTCTCCATGCCCACGTGCCTGTGGGAGCTCAAGCTCCTCCACAGCAGCTGCTCACTCCTCTGGGGGTGATTCCCTGAGAGCAGCGGCCCCTCTAGGGAGGAGCAGCAGAGGACAGCGATGGCCGGGGGGTGGCCCATTCACCTGCCACTTGAACTGTGTCCTGGATTCACGTGGCAGCCAATGGCCTGGAATCAGCCAGGCCACCCTGCTCCGGTGCTGCCCGTTTATTGAGCCAGCTCTGGCCACCACCATGGTCCATAGTCCGAGGACAGGCCAGTCCTACACCACGGCGCACCAAGGGTCCTTCCTCTGCCATTCTGCCCCATCGTGTCCCTGCCTCTGCGCTTGTCCCTGCGCATCCCTGTGTGGCCGGGCTTAGCCATCCGGGAAGATGTAGCTGTATTGGTTCAAGATGTGCTCCACTATCTGGTTCTGGAAGACCATGTGCATGGCCATGTTGCCCTCCTCGCTGGCCGGTCGCAGTAACGTGGGGCCGAACACGATGGCGACGCTCTGCACTGACATCCGGTTCTCCTCCTTGAACTCGACCACCCTGGGGGGAGAAGGATGGTGCCACAGTGCCCTCGACGCTCCCACTGCCCTTGGTCTGCCCCAAGCCTGACCCCTGACCACAAGGTGGCCTCACCTGCAGAGATGCTGGAACAGGACCCTCATGGTGTCGTGGTTGGCGGGTGGCAGGGAATACACCAGGTCGCGGACGCAGCGGCTCCGCCATGTTGGATCCTGCATCTCTGCGAGGGAAGCACAGGCAGGACGCGCTGGGGTGCTGGCTCTGTCCCGCACAGCGGGGAGCCCCTCAGCACCATGGGGACCCCCTCCTGGGTGCCGGGAGCGCTGCGAGGACCCGCTCGTGTGCTGGGGTGCCTCTGATCTGGCCCCATCCCTTGCTCTGTGCTTGGCCGGGCAGCAGGACCCCATGGCTGGCAGGGATGTCCCTTCGCTCCAGCCTTGTCCAACACAGATCTGGGGTGCTCTCATGGAGGAAACCATCTCCATGGAACCACCCCATGGCTCCAAGCCTGCCTAGACTGGGGGAAGCAGTTTTGGGGTGAAAAGTGATGGAAACAAGCAGGGGAGCATCAGCGCTGAGGCTGGACCCGTCTCCCGGCCTTACTGATGGCAGCGATGAACTTGTCGAAGTGGGCGAAGGGGAAGAGC